TCGATCTATTCATTTAACTTGTACAAATCATTGTTATTGATTTATTTGTGAAGAAATTCTCATCGAACCCATCAGAATAGTTGATGTCTTTATTACGAACAAATCTATCTGGGATTTTTTCGCTCATTACAACGCACATGGATTAGTATATTTTTAATTCTTCGAACTTCATAGTTTGTGATATTGAATGATTCGATTGATTCAAAGAAAAATCTTATGCACTAAATAAACTATTAATCATATCAGTTATCCTAATCAAGATAATGAATTGGTCGATTCTTGATTCTTGGATATTCTTCGTCACAACTCGATTGAACAGAGGAGATTGTCTGACAATAACTATAGGAATCGCTATAAATATTTTATAAAAATTCCATGTATTACTAATCATGATATTTTTACCAACAATAAGAACAAAAGAGAGAATCGTACAATTCAATATACAAACTCTTTATTGAAAATATTGAAATATAATCATACGAATTGATTACGTATCTGATGCACATGTATCAAAAATGAACAAAAATACTCATCATCACAAGTCAACACGAATATTTATATTACAGTAATTATATATTTAGAAATACGTCTTTCTCGTTTGCTATTCACCTGTACGTAGAGGATGGTATAATCAAGACTTGTTGATGACCTAACTACTACATAATTATGTGCATTCATTTCAATCAATAATTGTCAATATATATAGTAGATAATTAAAGTGTTTGATTTATTCATTAGTTGTAAGCGTGACTTCATTTAATGATGATGTACAAGTCTGAGTAACTCATAGAAAATGACTTTGAACACTAGTGGTCTGCAATGTGATTACCAATAGGGAATAATCAATTCTATTTCAGACACAGTCAATATTAATTGTCAACGAGAAGAGAATTTTTCATTTTTGTTTTCATAGCACTGTGTTACTAACCTGAGTGTATATTTTACGTTTACCCTATACTATCAAATTAATACTCCGACAATATTCAATTTTAGAGTGATTGAAATATGTATTGAATACATCACTTTTGTTTATGTTGATTTGAGTAGTTCAATTATCATGCAAGTGTAAAGTGATATTCTAGTCGACAAAAGTATGTGCCTTTCTCGTGCCTTGCTTTCGTGCAAAGTGACGATTGTGATTGCACGGTCTGTCATATATCAAACGCTTGTTTTTTTTTCTCTTTAGTGTTTAGTTTATCAATCATCATATGGTATATATGCTCATAGTCAGTAAGGTAAACGCGTCCCATCTGTAGCTATTAATAAATGTGAAGAAAGAAATTGAAAAACTACTTGATGAGACCCACAAAATTGATCAATCACGAGTTTTGCTATCGAATGATCCTTCTTTAACTGAATTGCTTTTTTTAGATAATAAACTTGCTCGATTCCGTTTACCATTGTCGAAATCAGAGAGTGTAAGTGTTGCTGATAATGAACACTGCATCACTCATGTCAAATAGACATAACATACTCAACGATCCAAACACTCATGAAATTCATAGATTCAAGATCGCAGTCAAGGTAATTGTGTAGGTTAGTATGATTGGTATACAGCCTTACTATGTGAAATAACTGCGTGGTGCTTTTTGATCAACATCAATCGATTTTATCAGCACGAAAAATGACTCTTTTTTCTTTTCTGTACTAGCATTGGAAAAGAAAAAAAAAAGTTGCAATAGGCAGTCACACTCGAGCAAATTACTTTTTTGTTTCCTTAATTTTATTGCTTTTTTCAATTATATGTCCAATCATCCACTTGCATATATATAAACATACGTATAGTGAGAGACGTATCGTTAGTGTGTACACAAAAATCGTCAGTAATTTGGTTTTTACTCTGTTTTTAACTCACAGAATCATTATCTAACATGCGTACTGCTGTTGCTGCTGCCTTACTACTGTTGGTTACTCTGTTCATTATGAAAACTGAAGGTGCCCCCAAAAACAAGCGGTGGGTAGTCGATCGTCAGACAGATCTTGAATTACGTCGATTAATGCACAATTTTGCCAACAATGAGCAAAGAAGATCGCACAAGATGGCCGAGCCCCAATTGAAGTCATATTCAATTAAACGTGGGGGAAATGATATATTTAAATGGGATCTCAGCGAGGACGAGAAAAACTGTGTATATGACTGCAGCGATGCTGATGCTGATGATGAGTTCATGAAATGTTACAAAGCGTGCCTTAGTAAAAAATGAACTCAAAACATAAGACAATTTATTCTTTCCATTGATATATTACACTAGATGGTTCCTTACCTTCATTTTTTTATCTTCGTTTCGAATTCAGCCCGTTTGTTACTTTTTCCCTAAACTATATTACTAATCGAAATTCATTTCATTGTTTTATCAATCAAAAATAATTTAATTTGAATCAAAATAAATAAAATATTCTTTCTATATCTTGCTACGTTTTGTTTTTTTTTTTGGATTTTTCATATCCAATGACTAAAAGTTTGAATCATGAATATTCAATCTTATGTGTTATTAAAAGAGAAGTCAGATACTAGTACTCATTTGAATGTACACTTTACTTATTGATATGTATACAAAATAAAGTTCGCCATGAATTGAGCAAGCACTGTATTGCATATTCAACGAATCGATCAAGTTCAAAGTTTAACATCTGAAGATCTTATATTTCATCCATAATTATAACATCACAAAAAAGGAGGGAAACATGATGATGATGATCTAATATATTGGTCTCTATAACACAAAAAAACCAAAGAGAACTGCATCAAATTATTAGAGTGACGAGAAAGTTCAGATCTTTACTGAGAATTCGGTAATGATAACATCAAAAAAGCAGTTCTTCCGTTTTGTTCGAATCATAGAACACAAAGGACTTATTTTATCATGTGTGACAAGTATTTGTTAAGATATTGTTCAACGTTTCGACTGAATTACAATGAACCTAATTGTTTAAATCATCATGCCTTTTACAACATGAATATTTTTCAATACTTGAGTATGTATCAAATTAATGTGTCATCTTCAGACAACAATCAAGCAAGTTCTAATGGTTGATATAGCTAGACATGATCTATATTCATCTAGTGCTAATAAACATACTTCGTAAGTTCAGGTGTCTGTGTCTTGAATTAAGTTTCATTTTTTCTTCAGCTGAAAAAGTTTAAGAACAAATGAAGTACCATCACGTTTCGTATATTGTTCTTTAAAATAATAAACAAATTCTGCTTCTAAGGACATCATTTGAAAGATCAGAGTGTGCCTTAACACAATATGTTGATCTCTTTCGAATAATCTTCTTCTTTAAGTATTTTAACAGAGTTTGGGTTCTAATGTGATTTAATCAAGTGTTCAAGATTATTGTGTTTTCATCTGCATCGTTGTTCTTTTATCGTACTTCAAATGTTTCCTATTGGTCAAAATTCGGTTCGTTTATGAGGAGAATTCTGTTGACTTCATTCAATTGATGAAAATATATTTCGTGAAATATTAAGCCGCAGACATCGTTTGTTTAGACTCTTAATCAATTTGAAAGAAATCTCATAGATTTCCTGGTTTTTTTAACTTCTTGTTCTGTCATTCTTCATTAGTACGAATTTGGCATATCCATCATTAGTTTAGCTCTGTCATCATTAACATTTGCAGAAAAAGAGTATGAATGTGGTTGTGAGTGAATCGTGTGAATGTGATTAAAGAGAACTCCATCACCCACGCCCACACCCTTAGTCCCATGCAAGTTTAGCTTGGTTTGATAATGTGAAAATTTATTATAGTACTGATATTAAAGCCCCCAACACGTTTATCTATGCCCAAACCCACCCATGGACGTTGTCCGTAGTGCGATTATGGCGCAAAGCAGAAAGTGTCTTAAATTGTCATCTTAGCGTTCAAGCGGTACAGACATTTTCTTTAAAGGAGCCATCATGGAACTGAAGACTGTTAAGGATGGGAATCATACTGATATGATAAACACATTTGCAGACTATTTCGCTAATGGTAAAATTTTGGCCATTCTGCATATTCTTAGCAAATTGCATGTCGTGCAAAAATCTTTCTCTCATGTTCCATGTCTTATCATCAGAAAAAAATTCTCTAATAGCTATATAATACTTTTTTTTCTTACTGTATTAATGAATTTAAGTAGAATAGCAAGTATTTTGACAAAAAATACCCTTGAATTACCGTCACTGTAATTATCGGTTCAATGGAAAAAATAGTCGATTGATCTTTCCAAATCACTTGATTAGATCACGACAAAATACAATTTATTAAAACGACACCACTTGAGTCTTTGTACATGTATCAAGATTTTTCGGTTTTCTAGTTAGTCTAGGATTTTTCTTGCTTACGTATTCTAAAGTTTCTTATACCATATCATGCGACTTGTTTTTGGTACAAATTCATTCGCATGTGTATGCTTAATTCTCGCGTTTATTTAAGACTTTCTTTCAAGTATGCGTTTGATAGACTATACATCGAAGTCACCAACAAAAAAGATAACTTTTATTTGGTTCTGCTTTGTAGCGGGAAGAGTTAAGAAAGAAAATATTTCAAAGCTATATAGTAAATATTCATTCATCACTTTTTTTCATAAAATATTTATTCTCAGTTAGAACTTCCAGAGTGACTGTGGCTGTGACTCGGTATACAAAGAGAATAGGAACATCCATATCTATACCCTCCCTCTATTACCCACCAAAAAAATGATCCTGTTTCGGAGTGTAGAAAATTAATCGTGTAGAGTAGATATTCTTTTTTTTTTGTAAATATAGATCTCTTTTTCGCTGTATTTTGTGATATAATATATTAAGTTGAAGCAAAAAATATATATATATATTTGCATTTTACAAAAGGTGGAGAAGCACAATATATTTGGACAGGACCTTCATGGTATGGTACTATGTTTACAAATATTCTCAAACAAGATCTCATTTTAGATTCAGAAGTCGATAAGATCAAAGTAAAATTTTTCGAAGTATTTTCCTAATGTTTTTTTAGTTTTCATTTACTATGCTAATATAGATGTGGGATGGTCTTTATTCAAAAGAACCATTTCATAATCCAACTATACCACGTCATCGTGTAGTTATTCAAAATGATGATCATGATCAACAAAATCCAGGTTCAAGTAGTCGTGATATGGATACTTTTGGTTGTGTTCTTGTTAAAAATTGTTCTGTATCAGTTCATCGCAATTTTGAAATTCGTCTTTTTACAAATCCAAATGGTGTAACTGACAATGATAATGATTGGCCTATTCGATTTCTTCTTTCATCTTATTATCATACGTATGGTGATCTTGGTATTCCTGATGGAAAATCATCATGCGATCTATGCACAGTAATGTATGAAACATGTCGTAAATCAGTACCTTACATTAAAGCACATGAACCTATGGCATGTTCTTATGTTGGCAATGGATATACACGTACACATCGTGATATACCTGTAATCAATGCAATGCGTGCATGGATGAAATTGACACCAATATCAGGAGCATCTTTGGGTATTGGACACTGTACTTAAAAACAAATAATATCGCTTATTGTTTTGCCAGGCTCTTTTCCTCAGTTTAATAAAATTTCGATTAGTAACATGCGGTGTTTAAGTTTTTCAATCGTACAAACTAATATCTAATCAATTGAACCTATATTATCTTTTATTATTCACAAAGGGATGTCACACATCAAAGAATACAGAATGGACAATAAGTGCTCGATCAGTGTGAGTGTCGGTGTGATTGTACAGTTGTTAGTGTCGAACAATCAGGAGATCCTAGATACCAACATCCAAAACTCACCCTAAAAGCTCGATCAGGAACTGTCTTGGAGTCTATGATATACAATCGGACTTTATGAATCTCACATACACGTCATGTGTATATGAGTTTGCACTATGCATGCATGCCCCCGTCCCCCCTTCCGCACTGCCGTGGCTCTACGAGAGTGGTTCCTGGTTGTGCATGGGATCGAATAGGAATGAAATTCATTCATTTTTTTGCATGGGCATTCTTTTTCATTAATTGCGATTTATTTGATAGAGAGAGAAAAACGCTAGCGGTCGCAATGAGTGTTTTCGATATAAAACCGTTGAACTCGGTATTTTCGATAATCGGCACCATAGAGATTACCATTTTGATCGAAGGACACACCATTGAATTGATACAACTGATTTGCTCCTTCTCCAACACCAATTCCACCCGCGATGACAATACCTATTTTTGCCCCTTTAGGTCAACGCATCATTCGATCATTACTCGAGTCTGCCATATAGAGGGTACCGTACGGTTCGACGAATAGTCCATTAGGATAATGCAATTGTGTCAGAGCATTCTCTTTACCTTGATTACCAGCAACCATCACCACTTCTGTTGCACCTTTGTCCTATTTCATCACATGATGGTTGTAGTAGTCCGACACGTAGACAACCTGTTGTCGATAGCAAAGAGGAAGGTTGGAAAACTGAGTTGATAGAGACCATCATCTGCACCATGGCCACCAGGGGTGTAAGTGTGGGTGCATTGGTGTAGGTGTAAGTCCTTTGCTCTTCTAGACTATCACTCACACGCGCACCCACACGTCCTATCGAAAGACAAATATTCTTATTTGAATCCCATAAAACATTTTGTTCTCTTTGAGCTACTGTTGCCAGATGCTGTACTTAATTTTACATTGTAGTTAGTAAAAAATTGACTCATCTTGAGATCAGACGTTTAGATAATGCAAAAGGTAATTTTCGTCACAGAATTGAAAAACCAGATCTTCAGCGATAACATTAATAAATTTGACTTTGTAGAGTCTGTTTAGTCCTTTGACAAATAATTCAGAATTATACGAACCATTCAATCATTGTGTTCTATGTTGTTTTCGACTTTTAAGTCAGGTATCGATGATGAAAGAATATCTCAGACTGGTCTCATATGTGAACAAAAACCATTTAGCAGAAATTCTTTGGAAATAGAATGTAAAACACGATGATATCGCTTTAATTGTATAATAGAACTTTTGCCACATTGATCATGATACATGATAAGCTCAAAAATGTATCATACCGAAGTTTCTATTATGAACTGTGAGGCCAAGTTGAAGAAGGATTACTTTCCTTGTTAGATTTCCATTATTTTCATGTAATTATTCATGAAAAATCATAGATGACGTTCAAGAAGTGATTATGGATGTTCGATGAATGAAAAACTTTCAATGCTGTCGTCATATACAAATTAATTGACGTGATACAGAAAAAAATGTTGCTTATTCTGCATCTCTCACGTAGTCATATATCAATGAAGGAAGCACCGTGAAGTTTTTAGCAGGGATCTGATTCACCTGTAGTATTGAAACCTATGAGTAATCACAAATCTCCAAATAGACCAGACTTAGTCATGAAAAAATCAACTCACAACCTGTTTCACTGTTAGTCAACTTTGTTTCTCAAAAATATCTGTTTAGTCTCAATTTTCGCTTTATGGGGTTTTGTATCATACACATTATCTGCACAAACTCATTTTTTCTATTTCAACAGTAATTTACAAATGTATTTTGGAAGCGTGCTTAAACTTCAAATTCAGGAACAATGTGTACACAAATTCTTTGTATAACTGTTTTTTTAGGAAATAGTGCAAGCCATTGATCTCATAAATGCTTCATCACGCTGTCCTTCTGGACTAAATCGAAACGCAAGCCGCTGCATTGGTTCATAGTAATGTCTACGCATCCAAACCTGCTCGTAAGCCATAATTTTTTCACTTGTCGTGATTAACCATCAATAATAATGGATTGAACAACCATTAATTGTCGTTTAACTTGACCTATTTCGTAAAATGCATTATTCGTATCGGGACACACGTCTGGTATATTGAAAAAGACCTTGTCTTCTAACTCATTTGGTGAAAGTGTCAAAGCCAGTAAGAAAATGAATCGATCTTCTTCATCCGACATATTTCTCCAATTTGAATAATTCCGATATCGACGAATATTATTATCATCATATTCAATAACAGTACATACACAATCCAAATAGTACATGACTTTGGCAATATCAGCATCTGGTACATGAGCTGTTCTGCCGAATCTTTGGAACTCAAGTTCAGTACTTCCAAAAACTACCATACTACTTAAATGAAGCGAACGATTAAAATTTATCAAATTTTATTAAAGAAACCTTCTCTCTTCAAAGTGAACTACATAATTGACTAATGTATGTATATATAGTTCTTCTTACTTCCGTCGACAAACAGAGAAAAAAGAAAACTGAAGTGGTAATAAATTAGTTAATTGCTGTTGAAGATAATAAAATGTGCAAGCATAATGTCTTTCTTTAAAAAATATTCTTTACTTGGAAAAAACCCTGCATAATAAAAAAAACTTCATCTTTCATTGAAAGTACTCTCAAAAGTTAAACTGAAATTCTTTGACTCCGATAAATATGCCTTGATGTCTTTTCCTATGACTTTGAATGCAAATATCACTTACTATCAAACATGTCAATATGTGTCTTACAGATACATTCGCTGGTAAGGGTGTATGTGTATTGGTAAATGAATATATGCTTGAACTTCTTCTACTTACATAAAAGCACACTCCAACTTGAGGTACATTTAGTAATATGTAGGACTCTTTCAATATGTTCATGAAATCGATCCAATAATTGAGCATACAAGAAGTCCTTTTCATGTGTTGTCTTGTATTTAACATTGATTCATTGACAAATGAATAACGAATGTGAAGAATTAAAATAAAGCTGACAGCGATATAGTTTTACTTATCTCGCCTAATATTAAACAGAATCTGTGAAGAAGAAAAAAATGTCATGCATATCGGACGATCTACTTCAGAAATGCGATCAACATGATATGTCAGTGAAACATTATGAAAATATAGGTTGAATATCACTCACTCGTTACCATTGGGCACATCAAATAAAAACACATTAAATACAAAGCCTTAAGCAGAATCCAGTTTGTGACTGTTATTTTTACATTCTTTCACGTCTATTCAATTGGTTTTTTCGCTCTATCAACGCACGTAAGTTCATTATCTTGGCTACCATGAAAACTCTTCGAGTACTAACAAACGAATCTATGTTCATGTATTCAATTGCGAAAGTATCAGTGAAAATATAATCAGTTTTTACATTCGAAAATGGCAAATAAGTAACTGATCAATGAATACCTTTTGCTACTATGAAAACTTGATATGTGGATCGGTCGATGACAAATATATCAAAATTATAAACAACAGACAGGAAAAGATGTTAGAACAGGTCAAAAAATGATGGTTGAAGAACAAGAAGACTTAGTTAGTCGGATTCCTAGAAGAGATCATTAGTGAATCGAATCCGAATGGAAACTTTCTAGTTTGTTTGGGTCTCTAATCTTTGTATTAGCGAAGGAAGCATCGTATAGTTTTTAGCGGGCACTTGGTTTCTCTGTAGTTTTGAGAAATGCGAGAAACTATAACGCTCCAAATCGACGAGCCTATGTCGTAAAAGAATCAACTCGCAACTTATTTCATTGTAAGCCGACTTAATATATGATTTGTATGTCAGTTTTCGCTTGAGGAGATAATATATCATATCAATGCTTCATCGAAGCTCGCCTTTTATTTCAACAGTAATTGAAAATTACGTTTCGAAAATAAAGACAACTTGAAGTTCAAAAAACTCGTCCCCCAGAAACATATTGCACAGCTGTTGTCTTAGGAAATAGTGCAAGCCGCTGATCTCATCAGTGCTTCTTGACGCTGTCCTGCTGGACTAAATCGAAACGCAAGTCGCTGCATTGGTTCATAGTAATTCGCACGCATCCAAACTTGCTTATAAGCCATAATTTTTTTCACTTGTCGTGATTGACCACCAATAATAATGGATTGAACAACCATTATTTGACGTCTGACTTGACCTATTTCATAAAACTGATTACTACTATCGGGGCAGAGTGCTGGCGCATTGAAAAATACCTTGTCTTCTAACTCATCTGGTGAAAGTGCCAAAGCTAGTAAGAAAATGAATCGATCTTCTTCATCCGACATATTTCTCCAATTTGAATAATTCCGATATCGACGAATATTATTATCATTATATTCAATAACAGTACATACACAATCCAAATAGTACATGACTTTGGCAATATCAGCATCTGGTACCTGAACTGTTCTGCCGAATCTTTGAAACTCAAATTCAGTACTTCCAAAAGCTGCCATACTACTTAGATGAGGTGTCTAATGAAAATCTACCAAATATTATTACAAAAGCCTTCTTTCTCCAGGGTCTTTTACATGATTTGATAATATATATATATATATCATTCTTTTTACTTCCGTCGTCAAACAGAAAGAGAAAAGAACTGAGATGTTGCTGTGCTAGTCACCTTGCATTGAAGATAATAAAATATTCAGACATAAAGTCAATGTTGGATGGACAAATTTTACTTGGAAAAAACTTGACACGATAAAACACTTTGTCTATTATTGACAGTACTTGAGAAAGTAACGTGTAATTCTTTTACTCTGACAAATATGCTTCTACGTCTGTTTTTTTAGTTTTTTTCTTGTGACTTCAAATGCGAATAATTCTCTTATCAATAATATCAGTGTGTCACACACATACGAGTTTCTTGGTAGAAATGTGTTGATGAGAGTAGTTATTTTATTCACTCACAAACATGCACATCTACAGGCAATATTTCGCATCCACACATCCAACTTCGGTAGAGATGTTCGTATGACTTCGAAAATGTTTTCACTGACACAAAGCAAATAGAAGGCTCACTACCCAGAATAGAGTATGTTCTACAGCTAATCCAAAATGATCGCAATTAGCTATGTGTAGAAATGAAAATCAGAAACTTAATTTGCTTCAGATACTTGTAAAAAGATTCCGCTGTGTCTTATTGATCCCTTGTTCATCCCAGAGATGAATTTAGAAAATTTTCGTTTCGTAGAAGATTTAGTCCAACAAAAGTAGAATTTCATCTTCCTGTTATGAGAGAGAGAGAGAGTAGAACATTTCGAATTCTATGAAATTTGTGGGACGATATTTTTCTTTAGAGGAAGATCATTATTATTCTTGAGGCAAACATTGGAAGATTTTCATCGTTCACTTTGTAAATCTTTCCAACTGTGAGAAATTCGTTGGCTTTCTTACTTTTGCTTCTCTCGTGTCAAATATTCTCGAAGCCAAAATTTATTTTGAACGTTCGACAGACGAACAATAAAGAAGTGTCATTCGTATACGGAAAGTGTAACAAATATCAGTAATACAATTTCTGTTCATAAATTACCAAAGTGTGATTAATCAAGACTACTTTGTCACTGCTCCTCTGTTCAACAATGACGCAAATTTTTGAGAGTGTGGGTGTGGAATATGGGGTATGAGTGTGTGAATGTGGAGTGCGGGTGTGGGGTGTGAATGTGGGATGTGGGTTGGTGTGTGGGTGTGGGTGGGGTGTAGGTGTGGGTAGGGTGTAGGTGTGGGTATGGGTGTATGGGTCCTTTCCTCTCTCACACCTACCCACACCCATACCCACCTATCCATACTAGACATGTGCGGGACCAGTCCCGGTCCCGGTGGCCGGGACCGGGACCAAAAAATAGAATTTTACCGGGACCGGGACCGGGACCGGGACCAAAAAATAGAATTTTACTGGGACCGGGACCAGGATCGAAAAACAATTTAGTCCCGGTCATGTTTGCCGTTGATAAGAAACATCGGCGGAAATACAAGTGAGAACTGCTCCAGATCTAAAACCGGCAGATTCCGCAACAACTTCTCTGACTATGGACAAATAACAGAAAAAGTAAGGTTACTTAGACTGGGTGTAGAACAAAAACCAAATTTAACACATTCGACGCGATTCGGTTTTATTAAAGAGTAGCTCTAGAGATTCATTTTCGTCTGCATTCATCTTGCGATAAATGCACTGCTTGGTCTTTTCATCCTATGCTGATCTGTCGTTTTCTCTTTTCCATTTGTAATATCACATGTAGCGAAGTAACCATTCTGTAGTTTGGCGAAACCCCTGTGAGGTCATTTCAGCATGACATGCCATTCGAGAAGTTGAATCAGCAACCCAATTCAAGCGCGAATTCACTAATTGCAAGCTCGAAGAAAAGGAAGGATTTAAGGGCAATGTCCGCAGACGCTGTACTGGCTGCTTTGCGAAAGGAAGGGCACAACAGTCAAGAGAAGCGAGCTATGCGGTAGCAAAGAAAGTAAAAACGTTCTGTTGTGAGTAACAATTTTTTTTGTCTTGATTTTTTTAACAAGACCCATCATGCTATGGAATAACGGACACAAAAAGAGTTCTGAAGGCAGAACAGATAAAGCTTTATGTTCAACCTCCTGTCTAAGAACAAAGAAAAATAAAGTACTTTTCTATACAGTTTCTCGTTAAAATGTAGCGTGGCTCACTGTTAGGCCACATCGTAGCGAATGTGTTAACTGAGCCCAGGACTAAAAAACAGAATTTCACCGGAATCAGCAGCAAAAGGAAAATTTCCACCGGGACCAAAGGAAATTTTCCACCGGGACCGGGACCGGGACCAAATGAAAATTTTCACCGGGACCCAAACCGGGACCAAAAAAAATTTACCGGGACCGGGACCGGACCGGGACCAAAAATTTAATTTCACCGGGACCGCGACCGGGACCGGGACCAAAAAAAGTTGGTCCCGCACATGTCTAATCCATACCCATCTACCCACATCCATCCACTCATACCCACCTACCCACATCCACAACCATCACCAATTGAATTTGCTATAATCGATCAAAATTTACCAGTTGCTGTGGCTATACAGAATACTGAAGTAAATAAATCGATCCACTTGAATTGTGAACATTCTATTACTGTTAAAAGGCTCTATGAGATTGAGGGTGTGAGTGTTGTTTGAACAATAAATATTACTGTTTAATTATGGATGGCCCGGAATTAACCGATGGCACTATTCCTTTAAAAGATATTACTGATGAAAATAAGACTGAAATTAGTTTTCAATTGATATCGACAGCATCTCTGTATTGCTTGGTCATGTATTGCAATCAAATTATTAAATTGTCATGCTGTCAAGATACACCGATAATGACCATAATTAAAGAAGTACTACAGATA